ATATTATTCGAATTCAAACTGATGTACATAATGAACTGAAATCTCTTCTATTTATGGAAGAAAGGAAGCTGCTGTGTAAGCTGCTACTATACCAGATATAAATAATCTTCTACTGAGAGCAATGTTTATCCGTAGCAATGTTTATCCATAACGGAGTACTGAAAAGATGCTTATTATACCCGATATGAATAATCTTCTACTGGGGATAATGTTTATCCATAACTGGGTACTGAAAGGATAAGTTTATTATACCTGGTATGGATAATCTTCTACCGGGGGTAATGTTTATTCATAACTGGGTACTGAAAGGATAAGCTTATTATACCCGGTATGGATAATCTTCTACTGGGGGTAATGTTTATCCATAACCGGGTACCGAAGTAATAAGCTTCTTCAGGAAGCTTATTTCCAATATAGTACTAAATAGATAAACATATTTACGGTGGAGTCCCATATGGATAAGCTTTTTCAGGAAGCTTATTTACAACAGAGTACTAAATGAACATCCATAATATAATATATTTATAACAGTTCGCTCTTTTTTTATATATAACTTAAATAAAGGAAATAGTAAATATGACTTTCTACGCAATCACGTAGAACCAGTAACTTTTTGGCCCATATGCCAACACTCTGCATAAACTATTTTTCTCAATCATGTGAATCCCCCAAGGGATTCAAGGGAGACGGTGGAAATTTCAGGAAAGGGTTGAAAAGTTTTGCTAGATGTTAACAATTAATTCAAGGATTTCAAAGAATTTGAAAATACAAAGATGATTACGCAACATGCAAATAAGACTATAAATACGAGCAAAGTCACCAACACAAGCAAATACTGCCACCATATCAAATTTTAATCACCATAGCACTATGCGACTAGCTTGACCACATTCTATCACACTACATGTTTTATATTAAACCATTTCGACAGTGACACACACAGCCATTGAAGTATCTAATTCACGATCTTGCTATATCCCCATGCAGCACCCTATAAAATAAAGACTACAAGACTATGCTACTAACTCATCACTGCTGCCCCTCGCTTGACTCATGTTTTGGAGCTTCCTTGATATCATCCCCAGCATCCTCCTGGAATCAGAATATTTAACAACAAAACCCATTCAAATCAGTAAGTCAATAGTTAAAGTATGTGAGTACTATTCCAGACTTTGGCAATCAAGCACAAGCTGATCCATTTTTCCGGACGTACACAGGTTAAGCAAATCTTTTGTTAGTGCGGGTGGGACTCTGTGTGTATGTTCGTGAGAAAGAGAGAGACACACAGATAAATAAATAGATAGATGGGCAGATATATAGAGAGAGACCGCATTATCTGAAGTCCAAAGTGTAAGATTGTCTCGGAGAAGTTGCATGATCAATGTACTGTCCTTGTAAGATTCCTCGCCAAGTGTATCCAACTCTGAGATAGCTTCATCAAAGGCCTGCACGATTAAAATCATTGTTTAAAAATATCTCCACACATAATATGGTGTTACAGAAGATGAGGCACACTTAAAATCACATGGTAAGAATGTCTCAGAAGACCTATTATCCTTCAAAATCCACACAAACTTGGTGAAAAATTGAACCAATAGAAGCAAAAAAATCCATATCAGCGCCACCAACAAGTTGCAAATTAATTTAATATAGCCAAACCCAACTAGTTTGATGCACTGTAGACATGGTTGTTATTGTAAAACAAATACTAAGTTTACGAAGTTAAATAATGAGCACTCTGAAATATTCAGCCACACCATACAAACAACAACGACACAATAAAATCCCACAAAAGTGGGGTCTGGGGAAGGTAGTGTGTACGCAGACCTTACCCCTACCCCAATGAGGCTGAGAGGCTATTTCTGATAGACCCTCATCTCAGGAAGACGGAAATAAAACAAGAAGAGATAATATATAATCGTCAATAGAAACCATAGAAATAGTACAACATCATAAAAACCATAAAATAGATGGCATGTAATAACAATAACCATTAATCAAGGCCCGAAGCTATCAAATCGGCCACACCATAATTGATTGAATATTTTTTTACCGGCCCGAAAAGGTAGATAATTATATCCTTAGGGTCAGGCTGTAATTCTCATCCTACCACTATAATTGTAAGAAGATGCTGCTTTCCTAGTCTTCTAGATTATCATGAAACTTAATTGTGACTTGACTTTGAGTACAAGAGCAAAATGATTTGTTACTAGGGTCCTACAAGTCAACCTGCCAACCAAATGGTCATGTTCATACATAAGCAAAAAGTTATTCAGGCTGCATTAGATATTGGTTTGTAACACCTACCTCTAAGCTAAAAGAATGAAAGCACTCTCTCTCCACAGTCTAGTCCATGCTATTTTTTTTGTCTCATCAACCATTGAGTACTAGAAATTCATTGTGACTACCATATAGGGAGACAAAGACAGCTATAATTCTAATGGAAGCCCAACAATGTAAGACATAATCTAGAGAGACGCCAGATGATGTATCACCGAGTTCAAAAGTTCTAAAAAAGATGTCTACAACTAACAACACCTAACTAGAATTGCTACTAGGTCATATACAAGGACAAAATCTAGACAAGCTTCAGTTGAAATTTTTTGCGTGTAAAACTACCACAACCCAGGCCAAGACCCTGAAGTGAACAAAAAAATGCAGGAAAGAATGCAAAGGAAATAAGCTCTTCTTCCAGTTTGAACAAAGAGAACTATAACAAATTTAGGTAAGACAGTACTTTACTCCAACCTTCGGCCACGAAAAGGCCTCTTTGGCTGATAACTGTTTCAGTAAACTAACCAGAGTATATGGTAGGCATAAATCAAATCGTTCAACACATCAACAATGATTCCTATCATTCAAACATCACATACCAAGCTTTGTAGTCATTATGAGGCCACTAATGATAAAGTTAATTCCTATTTGAAAGGTACATGCAAGCTTAATTAGTATGGTAAAAATATCTAGCTTTTCCATGGACACACATGACATATCAACTATAAGAACTAAGAAAAAAATCCATGTAATTACGAGAGAAAGAGAGAGAGTAATCCAAGTCAAAGAATCAATAAAAGCAGAGAGATTACCTGTTTTGCAAGGTTACAAGCACGATCAGGTGAATTAAGAATTTCATAATAGAACACAGAAAAGTTAAGGGCAAGTCCCAGCCTGATTGGGTGAGTAGGAGCCAGCTCAGTCAAAGCAATATCCTACAATAGTAGACACTAAAATATCAGATTCTGCTAAATTACAAGAAGAGAAACTGACAGTGCTCACAATAGATCACCTACCTGAGCAGACTTGTATGCCAATAAGGTGTTCTCAGCAGCTTCTTTCCTCTCTGACCCTGTTTTAAACTCAGCCAGGTACCTGTGGTAATCACCTTTCATCTTCAAGTAAAAAACTTTGGACTCAGCTGCTGAGGCTGATGGTATTAAATGGGACTCAAGGAGACCCAAAATCCCATCACAGATCTTGCTGAGTTCAGCCTCAATTTTGGCTCTGTATTCTTTAATAGTTTTGACATGATCTTCATTTCCACGACTCTCCTCTTTCTGCTCAATTGAAGAGATTATCCTCCACGAGGCCCTTCTTGCACCAATCACATTTTTGTAGGCCACAGAAAGAAGATTCCTTTCCTCAACAGTCAGCTCCTCGACATCACCTGTCTTTGCAACCTTCTCCATAAACTCAATCATTTCCTCATATCGCTCGGCCTGCTCAGCTAGCTTGGCCATGTACACATTTTCTTCACGCGATGAATCGGCCATGTTTGTTGTTTGTGAAAAACCTGATTCAACACAAATCCATGTAATTGAACACCACATGCCGGATGTCAGAAAGCATGGCTTCGCACACAGCTAAACTGCAACTTTTGTATCTACTTATCACCACTCTCCATGAATAATCTCAAGTGAACAGCAAAAAGCCCCTTGAAATATTATCATTGGGGCTCAACACCCCATGAACTATTTTTGGGATAATTAATTTCCTTTGACCTTTGCTTAAGTTTCCATGATTTATAAGGTGCAACTATAAAGAAACTCATTTTCTCTGATGCAAATAAAGACTTGAGGGAGAGACACCAGAGAATAATGGCTAACAGGTTTGCTATGTTTGGAAATAGGCAGGTTTTTGCCTCTTAACTATAGTTAAAGTGGTGGTCGAACTAATTAAATCTAAACCTTTGAAGACTAAAGTGGACAGGTGTTATTCATTTAAAGCTACACTGAAAGAAACAGGAGAGTAACAAATGTTGCAAGAGGCACCTAGGAGGGAGCGTGAAGGGTACTGTTGGATACCAAAAGAAACTTCTTCAAGAGAAGTAACTCCCTAGTAACTATTTTTTTTTTTTGATGACCGAGAAATCCGTCTGGGGCCGATCCTTTGGACCAACCGCAGCCTTCGAAACTCGGTGGATAATGGGACCGCCCCTCTACCCTTCTCCACTTAAATACCAGGCTTTGCTTTGCATGGTATGGGGGCTTGAACCTGTGACCTAAGATACAAATCCACCACCCTTTGCCACTTGAGCTAGGCACTGGAACTCGTTGCCTTTTAAACAAATCACAGAGATCTTCATAAAAAATAAAGATAAATCACAGAGATTTACAAATAAACAAACAATACAAACAGACCTACTTTACATTTTTTCCCCAGAGACATAAATCACTATTTCGGTATTTGTATTTTGCTAATACAGCAAGTGAAAGCTTAAAATACTGATATGAAGCTGTATCAGTGTACTGTGTGTATTTCAAGTTAAACACCTCTTCTACTCACCAATCTTCAATTTTCACAAGCTTTTACCAAGTAAAGTTCGTGTCCAAAATAATTTCAACTTTCACAAAATTTTCAACAACTTCTATTTCGTTTGTCTTCGTCGTGTTTTTCTTTTCTTTTATTGATATAGTACTTCAAACAAATGGTCAGTCATGAAATCCAGGAGTTCAAAATGGAACCAGTTCTGTTTCTCAAATTTCCTTGCTTACTATATGAAATGTGTAATACCTTAAAAATCGGAGTAAAACATAGAAAGACTAACAACAACAATAAGCACTAGTCGTGAAACGGCTCAAATCATTTCAGATTCAAAGCAATCGGGTGGTCAAAGTTTTCAGATCTGTACTTAAGAGACAAATATGAAGAACGGAATATCTAAACAAAACGACAGATCTAGTTCTGGAAAAACCCCTAATTATAACATCATCAATAGCATAATCGATTTGTGAAGGGAGCGAAAATAGATTCGATAAAGTACCTAGGGTTATGCAGCGGGTGGTTTCTGATTGTCGCTCCTACGTGCAGACGGAAGGAAAAAGCAGACTTGAGTAAGCGAATGGAGTTAAATAATAGTAGGTGACGTAAGACCTAGTAAAATCTATCTATCTATTATTGAAAATAACGGCAAAGGTTAAATATATCCCTCTACTTTCAAATATTATTTACATGTATACTTCGTTATATTATTGGGTTATTCATACCCCTACCGTTATATATTGGAACAAAAATACTCCTATTTTGGATGGAGTCCCACGTGACAGCACCAGATTAAAATGGCTCATATCTTTTTTTTACCCAACCTATTTTACAAAAAACACACAACTCGAACCATATTTTCATTTTTCAGTTTTTTTAAAGAATTTTTTTTTGTAAAACATTAAAAAAAATTTCAAAATATTTTCGTTTTTTTAAACTGAGTAGATACTGAAAAGATTTTGCAAAACAAATTGTAAAAACAGGAAAAAAAATCATTTTTTTAACAAAATATTTTTTTTGTAAAACCTATAAAAACATATTTGTAAAAAATGGAAAAACAATTTTCCAGTTTTTAACAAAATATTTTCGATTTTTAAAAACTAAAAAAAATATTTCCAACAAATATTTTCGTTTTTAAAAAATATTTTTTTTCATTTTTTCAGTTTTTTTAAAGATTTTCTTTTTGTAAAAACTGAAAAAACAAATTTGTATAAATTGAATTTTGTTTTGTAAAAATAGAAAAAAAAATATTTTCGTCTTTTAAAAACTGAAAAAATTATTTTCAACAAAATATTTTCGTTTTTGAAAAATATTTTTTTTCATTCTTTCAGTTTTTTTAAAGATTTTCTTTTTGTAAAAACTGAAAAAATTATTTTCAACAAAATATTTTCGTTTTTGAAAAATATTTTTTTTTATTTTTAAATTTTTTAAAAGAATTTTGTTTTGTAAAAACTGGAAAAACAAAAGTGTAAAAATAGAAAAAAAAATATTTTTTGTTTTTTAACAAAATATTTTTATTTTTTAAAAACTAAAATTTTAAAAAAAATGGAAAAAAATGAAAATAGGGGTCGGGTTGTGGGTTTTTTTAAAAACGAGTCGGGTAAAAAAAAATTTGGTCGTTTTAATCTGGTGTTGCCACGTGTCACTCCATCCAAAATAGGGGTATTTTTATTTCAAAGTATGATAGTAGGGGTATAGATAACCCAATAGTATGACGGTAGGGGTATAAATAACTCAATAGTATAACGTGGAATACAGGTAAACAATATTTGAAAGTAGAGGGGTATATTTAGCCCTTTGCCGTAAAAATAAAGAAGTCAGCCATGAGAATTTGCCAAGTGTTGTATTAAGAAAATGTCATGTGGTAATATTAGGCTAAATCTATTATTAAAAATAAAGAAGTCAGCCATGAGAATTTGTCAAGTGTTGCATTAAGAAAATGTCATGTGGTAATTTTAGGCTAAATTAGTTAAGTTAGGTAAAATTAGTATTTGAATTTGAATTTCAAAAAAATATATATATACAAACCGTGGAAACTAAAACTGCTTTATTCATAACTCGATAGAGGCTACTTTGGAAACCGTTTTCAATTCTCAACATAAGTCATCTTTTTTTGGAACTCCCACAATCTCACTTTTCATCTGACAATAACCACCATCAACATAGTTCATCTTTCTTCCAATGTCTCTCAAAGGGCATATTAAATCTAACTTTTTGGATCCTTTTCCATGGAAAATATTTAAAAATCACTTTCCACATCAAGCTGATATCACAAACAGAATCAGAAACACTGCAAAAAATAATTTGTGACCAAAGATATGTTCTTTGATTACACTAACATCTGTGAAATGCCTTTTATATATATTTTTTAGTTGCAAGCTATAAGTAATAAGACCATTAGAATAAAAAATTTAATAATCGTTGATCTACTTTGTATATAAATGGGTAAAAAGATAATTTTGGCGATAATGATGGTATATAAAATTCAGGTATAAATTATGAAGTCTTTATAGTGAAATATCTACTGTAAAAGAGTAAAAAAAATTATCGTATAAATTTAGCTTCTAAAAGGACTTGATCAAATGAAGTTGCTTGGAAAAGTTCAACAGTAATCGAGTTCTTAGCATTACGTTCCAATTCAAAAGTTGAAAAGTGTAGAAGGGTAGATTATTTTCAGTCGATAGTCAAGTACTGAGACTAACTTTTAAGGTGATTGATTTATTCTTGAACTTATAGCTAAAATCATGAATTCCTTTGGTCTCGTGTATTGGATGCACTAGCAATTTTTGTTGATCTTTAAGGAAGTCTTGATCATCTACATATATGTTTAAACAAATCCTTTGTGAAGTACAATGTTTTAGAAACGTTAAGTGAAATGTAACCATGAATTAATCTATGGGCTTGTGACATGGTTCAGTAACCAACATGCATATTTCTACTTAGATGTTGAAATAGTGAAGAGGTGAGAGAAGTAGAGAAGATATTCTCCTTTTAATTGCATATATTTATTCGATTTAGTTCATTTGTTTATCGGGATATCGCAAAATTGAGGTTCAGGGGAAGTGGGAATTGGAGTTTTTTTTTTAATATATGAGTAAAACGTTATACATGCCTATCTTAGTCGTTTCCAAATTCTTCATTCTGTTTGAGGAAAGGTGCCAAGTAATATAGAAAATTGCTCATGGCAAATAATGAGAAGTATACTTTTTATTATTCTAATAGTCCGTAAGTTCTCTATTCACTGACCATTAGGAAAGTTGTGCATAATTGGCTCTACTGTAAAACAAAATTATATATATATATATATAAGAACATTTTTGAAGTCTTCCCCTTTAAAATTTTGCATTTTATATTTTTATATTTACCATAATTTATTCTTATTAAAATATTTGGTTAAGTTTATTATTAGTTATACAACTAATGATGCATATAAAATATATGTTGTAGACATGAGAACATGGCATCTTGAACCCTCCAAAAATATAAACTATTATGTCGAAAATGAGGAAAGAGTTCTTCCTATGTCTGATGTGAGTGACAATATTATCTATTTAATATATTTATAGTTGCGTAGTAAATTTAGGGCTATAAGTCAAAATACTATCTGTGAGTGGATGCTCTTTTAACAAACTGTACCATCATGATGTAATAATTGAGACTGTTGAGTGGTCTTTCCCAAGAATTGAATTATGGATTCAAGCTGCACGTCCCCGTCCTCTAATGTTTACGGTTCGTACCTCGCACATAGCGGGAGCTCAGTGCACCGGGTTATCCTTTAATAAATTGAAAAGACCAGCAGTATTCCATTGAAGTCTTAACTGAATAGACAACTTAGTATGTGTGTATAGACTACAAGTGGAGTGTGCAATAAGGAGATAACTTCTCTAGCAAAGCCTATAGATGACCTGGGGAATAGAAGCAGCAGTAGTAATTGTCTTAGATCAATATATGCTCATAAATTTTACACATGACATGGCAGTTACAAAATAACACAGAATATAAAGATGATGAAGAGTATCCCGACATAACTATATCTTTGCACACTTTTGTTATAATAAAAGAAGAATCTATATTGACAAATATATATGTATATATTAAAAATCCATCCCTATTAATTGATTTAACTACTACTGTCTAATTCTGAAGGCTCAAAATTACAGAGAAAAGTTATGTTAATATTAAGAAGATAATTGTATCAATAACCTCATAGTGACTTCCTTCGACGTTTATCGATTGTTTTGGGATAAATCTAATTTGACCTTTAAATATTTCGGAGGAACGGATGTTTAGTCGTATTATGGAAGGTGGACTTGACAGCTTATGTTGAGAAACATGGCATTCTATTGTGACGCTGATGTATTCCTCTATTTTTGGATTGAGACCTTTTACGAGAATGTAAGAATGCTCTTTTCTTATATATATTCAACAATTTATTATCTACATGCAGTGTATTCCAAAAAGATGCAGTGTTTGAAGACTAAACTAATTGGAACAAAAAGATTACCATATTCTTGGTAATCTTTTTGTTCCAGTTAGTTTAGTCTTCATACACTGCATCTTTTTGGAATACACTGCATGTAGATAATAAATTGTTGAACCCCCTAAGTTTCAAATCTTTTTTTCTCTACATCAGAAAAGTAATTTTTGCTGACTATTGTCTTTTACTTGATAAGTAGATGTCTAATTTCATAAAAGGAGAGTTTCTGCATACACACATCGACATCAAAACATTGGGTTCTCTAGAGGAAGCTCGAAATACGGGAGAATCACGCTGCACAAATGTGGACGTGAGAAGCTCAGATAGTGCAATTTCTCAGAAAGAAGTGACTAACCACTTATCTCACAATAATCATGGTAGCTGCAAGGTCTAATGAGCAAGGTAAACATGTATATCTATTTTGGATTGATTGACAGATATATAGAAGCTACAAGGTCTAATAACCATAACTTAACTCTCCCCGTCCCTTTTATGTTACATCGTTTGCTTTTTCAAAATTGACAGGACTTAATTTTTAGCCATAACGTATGATGATACTGTTATAAAGTGTAATGGAAGGGAGGCAAAAACTAATTTGAGCTAAGCACAAATAGGAGGAACATTGGCTTTAAATTATCAAAATTCATTTCATAATTTTGATCTAAGCACGTATGATTGGGTCAATGAATACTTACCCTATGCCCAGAATATTGATTTTAATCCCTTGACTTACCATGGTTAGGTAAATACATTTCATATTTGCACATAGATCCTCATTGTTTTTAGCCGAGGGTGTATGATGGCTGGCATGACATCACATGGCAAATAGGAAACTATGAACTCTGGCATCTCTAATATGGTTTGACTAGACATAGTGGAGCCATGGTATTTCAGTTACATGCTTTTCATATATATTTTTTGTACTCATCAACTTATGAGATATCTTAAAATATTGGTAATTTATAGTTTAATCAATAAGCGATATTTCTTAGTTACATATATTTTATGAAGAAATCTCTTTCTATCACAATGAGAAGTAAATGACCTCATGGCCCTTGAATGCTGGCTAATCGGCCTCTTCTTTGAAACGGGGAAAATACCAGTATCATTCTCATATTAAAGGTATA